CGCGTGGGTATCGTGTCTTGGGCCTTAGTGGACAACTTATTTGAGACTGGGCCCAGTTTTGATTTAGCGTTTGGGTTTTGGTCTTCGGCCTCTCTGACTGCCTGGTTTATGTCTTCGATCAATTGGGCTTTACGAACGATCTAGTCCAATCCCTTAGGTTCCGTAGCCCTAACTTCAGCTTGGATGATTGGGTCAAGCCCATTGAGAAAGGCACTCTTAAGAACTTCATCGGAGAGTTGTGGAAGCGCCGCCGCTAGAGTTTCAAATTGTTGCCGGAACTCCGCGAACGTACCTTCTTGTTTCAGCGACAAAAGTTTTGCGCATTGCTTCCCCTCTTTTGCCGGGTGAAACCTATCTCTCAAACGTCCCTTGAGGTCGTTCCAATCCCTGTACTTCTCATGGTTATTCGTGTACGGATACCAAGCTAAGGCGATGCCGTCGAAGCTGATAACGGCAACTATCATCTTCTCATCTTCAGTTAATTTCTGTATCTCAAAGTATCGCTCGGCCCTGAAAATCCAAGCCTCAAGCTCTTCTCCCCCGAATATAGGCATTTCCACCTTCTTGAAGCGGTTGCGTTCGTTTCCCTGATTTTCGTGGCCTGTCTCTGGGGTCTCCCCGGCTATAGCCTTCCCTTTCCGAACGGATTCGTCCCCCGTGATGGCCGTTGTTGGGGGAGATGATGATCCCCCGATGATCTGGGTCATGAACGTTTGCAACGTAACATGGATTTTCTCTGTTTCTTATGATGCTCGTCGAGTTTCTTGTGTACCTCGGCGACCTCCTTCTTCACATCGGAAATCTCTTTCTCCACCGCCTCACAGCGTGTTTCCAGTTCCTTCACCGTCATCGTCGCTCGCAGTTCCCAGTCTCATGCCTCTCTGATACCAAGCTGTGAGGTATCCCCTCACACTACTTTGATTGAAAAACAAAATAAGAGCCTTAAGGCGATACAGAGCAAGAACAAAATACCAAAGACACAAAGCACACAAACAACCCACCAATTCGAGAGGGTGGGTATTCTCTCCCTAGGCTACTCAGTAGCACCAAAATACCAAAATGTTCAGATGTCCCCTCACCAACATACTCCTCCCACTTAAAAGGACTACAGGTATGCGTCCTACACTACTCCTAGCCCCCCTTTCTCTCTCTTGGCCGTTATGGCCTACAACAGTTCAGTATCTAATTACCTCCTTACCCTTATCCTTCCCCTTTCCCTTCCTATGGTAAGTATTGATAATTGGGGGTCTAACAGCATACTCACTAAAGGAACTTGTATGGACACATAAATTTAATAATGCCGATTCCTAAAATTGCACGCACTGTGCAAGACTCATTCATGGATGCATAGTGATGTAGTTGTTAAACTCGTAAACTTGAGGACAACAACCAAAGTGTTAGAAAATTGGAGTGCACATCAATTTGGTAGCAAGGGCTAAAATTATAAAAGACATGTTTAGGGTTCACCAACATCACAAAATAGAACCTCCAAACAGATCACAGATTTCTTTTTTTATTTTTTTATTATGAGTTTAATAATTTAAACTCAGGGTTATAGGCAGACTGCCCCTCCAAGAGTTATGTAATTTAGTTCTGTTCTTTGTTAATTGCTATTCTTAAGTATTTCTTCACTTCATCAATGAAAAATGTTGTTTCCTTTTCTTTCTTTTTTTCTCTTTTTTTTTTTGGAACAAAACAATTTCATTCATAGAATGAAATAAGAGAGAGAAGATTACAAAAAAAAGGGAGAGAACCTGATAAAGGGTTACAAACAGTGGGCCTCAAGGTGACAAGCCTCCTTATCGCCTTAAGGCGAGAGGCGACAAAAAGGCGTCGCTTGAGTGAAGTGAGGCGCACTTAATAAAATAATAAATAAATATTACATATAGCAAATTTTATGAATAAAAAATACTCTAGATGAAAATATTTGTAAAACTATTTAATGTAAAAATAAATTTTAACTTAAATAATTAAGAAAAATAAAAAATTTTAATTTAAAAAAGAAATTAATAAATAGAATACTAAAATAAATAAAAAATAATCATAAATTAACTTAAATAAAAAAATTTATTCCCATCTTGCCTTTTCCGCCAGATGGCAAGGTAATTGCATGCCATTAGTGCCTTGAAAACCTAAAAGGGAATAGGAAAAGACTCCACCAAACATCAAATACCCAAATCTTTTATTCTATTTTTCAATTCTTTTTTATTTTTTGATATCCATGAGTGTCCGGACCAGCTTACGCGCACCTCGACTAATCTCACGGGACAACCCCCTAACCCTACAACATTTTGTGCCGAAAAACACAGAGGAATTACTAATTCCTAAAGTAGGTGGCTATCATAGGATTTGAATTCATTCATTCTTAAGTCTTAATTAATCCTAGCCCCTACCAATGAGCCACCCATGACGGTTAATTCTACTTCTACTTCTTCTTTTCCGATTCTTCTTCTTCTTCATCCATTACTCTTCTTTTCCGAGCACAACCAGTTCATAGGTGAGTGAGACTAAATCTTTTGGCTGTCTACCAAGGAGAAGAAAAGTGAGATGGCTTCATAATCATGCAGTGACTGGGCAAAGGCAGCGACAAAAAGGAGGAAGGTTTTCGGGCGTGAATATTTCGATTTTTGGGTGTGGGATTTCATCTTTTTAGGGTTCATTTCTTGGGCTTTTAACATTATAACAAAAAAAAAGGTCACCTCGCTTCAAAGAGGCGGTCGCCTCACCTTATGGCGATGGCGCCAAGGTGCACAAATGCGAGCGCCCGATTGAAGGCGCTCGCCTCGGCACCGTTCAAGGCGCACCTAGGCCAAAACGCCTCGCCCCTCGCCTCAGGCAAGCGCCTGGGCGTGCCTTGAAAACATTGGTTACAAAAGAGCTCTCCAATTGAATAACAGTGAAGCAAAACTATAATGATAAAAGAGAGGAGAGCACTATACCAACAGATAACCAAAAAAAAAAAGAAAGAAAAACTATGGATTCAAAAGT